GCCCATGTGCTCTCAACGCATGCTATCCAATCCAAGTCCAAAACTGCTCCAAATTGCTCAATTTGACCATTTATTGTCATCTTTACCAACTGGACCTACAATAATACGAAATTAACTTAAATCACTATAATAAATGGAAATTAACGAACTAAATGCACATAAATAAGATAACAATTTCGTATAAATATGCTCCTATCAATTCATACCATGTTTTTGTACCACATTTTCATACCACCTTAGGTGGCATTTGATGTGGACAAGCACATCATTTGAATTAATCAGATTTTTAAATTTAGTTCATTATTTAATAAACTAATAATTAAGAAAAACTAGTTAATTAAATGATGATTGTGGTATACGAGGAGTATTTCTCCTTCCTTTCCTTGGGTTTTGCAAATTTTTCAAATGATGTGGCTATCCACATGAGATGCCACCTAAGATGGTACATAAATATGATGTAAAAAACATGGTATAAATAGCATTACTTGGGACCAAATAGTTGCAGAAAATATCCATATGCATGTCAGCAACCGAAATGGAACTAAAGAACTTAGATTATCACCACTAAAGCAGCCTTAATGGGCAAAAAGACTTCGCTGAATCTTTGCATGCCAAGATTTTGGCCCAAATAGCACCATGGTTATCTCGACAAATACCAAATGAATTTCATCACTAAATCTTTGCATGCCATGATTTTGGCCGAGATTCCAATCCGGTGGGATTTGTCCTATTGCAAACGATGCTCTAATTCCATTTCTTTTCCCTACCATCGAATTAACCAGAAACCTCTTCAAAGCTGAGCCTAGGCAATGTGAATAAGATGCTTTAAAAGTGAGTGGCCTAAAACTTCATGCCATCCCTTTCTTTTGTCTACCACATTCTGTCCCAAAACACGTGTGATGACAATGGGAGCTCTAATTGGGCCGCCAATCCAGAGCAAGCTGACTCAAAGAGTATGATGATTTAAAGCAACAGAATGACGTACGCCACGCATCTCACTGAAGAGAAAATCCCATCGACTAGCCATGAATCACTTACTTTTTCACCTGAGCTGAACTTTCAAAACGACTTATTCAACCACTACTTAAGCTTCTTGGTAAAAATACAAGATCGAAACAAACTATCGTCAAGCTCGACCAATAACCCTCGGTTATTGAGATCTTGTCCCTGGTATCTATCGAACCGTCACAACTTCCTGTTGTCTAAATAAATTTTCTTGAGACTTGGAGATCGAAGGAAAATAAACACTTGGGAGAATGTGATGTGAAAATTAACTTGACACACAAATTAAATCCTAATGTTGACAATTGTAGTATATATGTAAGTAGGGATTGTTCTAGACCGGGGATTAACTAGGGATGCTAATCAACACAAATAAGACTTAAAAACACTAAATTAGACTCTATGACTCAAAACACTTAAAACAGCAACAAACAATCAAGAAGACTTAATTCTAGACCTCAGAAGTGATTATTCCGAAAATAAGACTTAACTTGACTCAAAAGACTAAAAGAAAACAGATTTTGACTCAAATAACAAGACTCAATAGAAGGGGGATTGTTTATGACGAATTTAAAACTTAAAACAGAATCTTTGCATAAAACACTTTATAAAAACGAATTTGGTGAATAAAAAAGGGTGAAAGGCTAGTTAGAGGGTCATTCTCCACACATGACATATGCATACAAACCAATTTCCAGTTATTATTCCTTTAGACTATGAATGAAAATGCCCCAAATTAACTGTGAAAAGCACAAATTAACTTTCAGATTTTCCTTAACTCATTGAATTGGATGGGATACGCATCACAACCAAATTATCCTTATCAAGTTCCCTAACTATGAAAAGCATGATACAAAGACATATCAAAGGTCATTAAGTTCTTTGAAAACCATAAGCATTGACGAGGCATTCGTAACTATGAAAAGCATGAAACTCATACCAAGGATTTACTTAACACAATCATGACTAGTGACTTCCACTACTTGTGAATATAAGTTCATAACTATTAGGTGAAACTCCCTTATACTCTAGCATTAAATTCATGCATGCAAATTAAGTGTCGACCCTCAATCAACATACATAAACAAGTTTTGATAAATCAGATAAGCAAATCACATTCAAGACTCAATAAACAATAACTGGACGTAATCAATTCATATAAAACATATAATCATGGCTTCGAATTCACCTCCAACTATAAAGAAATTATTTCCACATAACTGTAGAAATTAACAATGAAATCAACATAATTGTAAAACTAAAACAAGGATAGAAGACACCCCAAAGATGCTCCAGCACTCCCAAAAGCCTGGGCATAGGCACGGCACAAAGGTTTCTCCCTTGCTTCTTTCTCCTTTGCTGTGGCATTAATTGAATTTTCTGAATTCTCTCCCAAGCTCCCCCTATGGTACGACATAAGGCTAGGGTTTCACGGCAGATTTGTATTGAAAAAAGGATTAGTTACATGGCGGAAACCAAGGAGAACAAGGAGAGGGTGCGGCAGATCCTTAGGGCTTCTAGAAAGGGGTTTTGTGACAGATTTCTAGAAGCACAAGGGATAAGATATGTGGCACAAACTTAGGGCATGAAAATAAAGCTTCTAGAACCTGATATTTAGGTGATTTAATGTGAAAAGGAGTCATCTTTGTAGCTGGAATTAAGGTAGCAAAAGATTTGGATAGGATAAGATAGGATAAGGTTTGGATAAAATAAGGTTGTTTGGATAATGTTCCATGTTTTTTGCTCTTTCCTTATCTTCTTTGTCTTGAACTTGTTTCTCCAGATTTGTAGCATGTTCCTAGCCTCTTTTGACTTCAAATTTGTCCATCCACCTTGCTTTATATGCAAGCTATCCATTCCATGCCCACAACTGCTCCAAATATCTCCAAAATGCATTTTCTTGCTTCCTTTGCCATTAGGTTCTACAAACACACGAAAATAGCTTAAATCACTATAATAGTAGAAACTAACTATGTAAATGCAAGAAAATAAGCTAACTAAGTCACATAAATATGCTCCTATCAGAATGTTCTATAGCCAAATGAACATCACAAAATGTCCTCCTAACTTGGTGTAATGCAAAATTCCTCGAACCAAGTGTTAGTATATAGTTACCAGTTTGAACTAAGTCTTCATGTTGCCAAGATTAGGCACGTGGTGGCCTACCAGAAATGGGTGGCCTATCACCTAATACCTCATGTTTTTCTTTTCTCCCTCTTTTGCCGTAGCTTAGCATATGAGGGACCACCATCAAACTAAAGATGTGTTGGCGAGAAGAAAGGGAGAGAGGATAAAATCTCAAAGGTTGTTGAGAAGTTTTGCGCAGGGAATTTGTGTGTTGAATTGGAAAAAAAGGCTCAACATGTTGCACATCGCTTTGTATTTATAGCAATGAAGAATCTGATAAGCATGAGTAAATAACACGGCTTTTCTTGATAGCCACATATTTTCACGCTGACCCAATGAATGACTAGGTGATAATGCATAGTCATGCTTCCTACTTCAACCAGGAGACTCCCTTCGCCATTTTATTGTCCAAATGCACTCTTGCAATCCATTGCAAATCGTGAAGTGTAATCATTATCTCACCATTATTCCATCATCTTTGACCATCCTGATCAGTACCAAGCCATGTGCATGATAACATTTAATCATCATCATTATCACCATACTTGAATTGGATAATAACAATTTCAAGAAATCCAATCCTATCCTGCAAGCTTCATAATTTGATGTTGTGCCTTAATGTGTATCCCCATTTATCTTGTACAAGAAAATATCAAGGTAGTTTATCATTAAAAAATAATTATTATGACGAAAAATCATAATATTATCCTTTAACAATAACAAAATTATCTTCTTGATATCTAATGGTGTGGAGCTATGCTCACTCGACGGCCCTTGATTTCACGGGCCGTTAGTGTAAATTTGGGTCCAAACAACACGATACAAAGGTTTATGCATATCCATTATTAGTAAGTTCTAATAATTGATTAAGTAGAACAATAACATTAAGGATTAATTGTAGAAGAATGGTCTCCTTTTATAGTTGAGGAGAATCATATGTTTTCATTCGCAGTTGATGTGGGACTCTAAAAGTTTTATTCTGATGTTGACACATGTTGCATTGTAACTGGCCTTCTGGTTGGAGAGAAACTCTTATGCTTCGGCAGGGGTGCCTTAGCATGAACCATTCAGTAAGTATTCGAAGGTATAAACTTGACCTTGTGAAGTATGGTACAAACAGTCGTCTTGGAGAAAAATGGTTTTATTTATTTATTAAACTATAATTCAAGTTTGTGTAGTATGGTACAAAAAGTCATATTGTCCCCATAGTACTGAGTGGAGTTCCATTAAGAGTTTGGATAGTGGATCATTGAAGTTGACTTTGTCGAGGACGTCCATCTCATTTCTTCTCTAGCCACCGTCTTCTACCACTAGCCCGTCGCCCATCCCACCCTTATTCGTTCCACGTAACAGAGTCGGCACCAGCCAAATATCATCCATCATCTTTTTGCAACCCTCTTTTTCTAATATTCTGCCAACTATCCAAACCCCTTCCCCCCAAAACTAATAATTACTACGCATCCATCCCTCAAACCGGCCCCAAATTAGATCGATCTATCCCTTAGTCAACTAAATCAATCTAGAAGCAACAATTACACAATGGGTTTTAAAGATTTGGATCTTAAATTGTCATTTTCTAGGAAATTATCTCTCAAATTGCCGCCACTTACATAAAAACACGTGATGTACCATCCGTGTTTCTGTTACAATAAAAAATTTCTTGTGCTTGGAGGTATTTCTATAATTGGCATGAAAGTGTAAGGCCTTGTTTGGCAGTCCATATAAAAGATCAGATAGAATAGTTAATGCGAAGTGTTTAGTGCAATTATGTACTAAATAGTACCCGTATTACTTATACTGAGCCCACATATTTATCCGGTGTATGCCCGTTTATTTATCCTTCAAAAAACCATTGTATTATTAGTCGGCTCCATCGCTCTCACTCTCTCACATCGTTCTGCAAGCTCTCTACGGTTGCTATCGCCAATCCCAGATTTTTCTCGCATCGTCCACATCAAAGTCAGCCTCTCTTTCCTCTCTTTTTTCCCTCAAATTCACATAAGAAAAATTTCCTGAACTTTCTTTAGTTTTCTTCTCTTTTTTTTTTTTTTTTTTCCATCAAAAAGTTGTAGGAACCATTTCAATTTCACCTCAAAAATCTGCCTCCCTCACTCATCTTTAAACACTGAACTATGGAGTCCGCCGTCTTCGAGGCTTCCCTTTTAGTGGGCTGCTCCTTAAGCGCGTTCAAGTGCTGATCTACGCGAGACAGCCCAAGGGATGATCTTCGATCCGAAGAATTTTTCTCCCCTTTCGCCTTCCCTGGGTTTAATGGGTTTCACGTCAAATATAGAATCTAAAATTTTAAGGGGAAATTTTCTCTTCTTTGTCCTTCCTTGGCTTGGCTGTTCGGAGATATATTTTTGGGTTATAAGGGTGTTTGGAAAATACCCAAAAATAATAATTTATTCTTGGTTTATGGGTGGGGAAGAACTCGGGCTTTGGAATGGAGGATGGGGTGTTAATTTGTTTGGGCTTTGATGAGTCGAATTTTGACATTGTACATTTTACCCTATTCATAGTATTAATTTATTTGTTATTTTGGTAGAATTTGATACTTTGATTTATATTCTTAATATAGGACATTCAACTTCATTTAGAGCAAAAAGTGATCAAACAGATAAATTTTGGAGTGATTCCAATTGGAGGATGTTCGTGTACCTTTCAAGATGACTGTGGTGATGAAATTAAGGCCTAGCGAGCAGCTTTCCCAGATGTTTATGGATGTTTTGGGTATTTTGGAGGTCAAGATGGCATATTTTGAGGAAGATTCCTTCTGAGGATTTGTAGGGAACGTCTTCAGCTTTCAAAAAAGACCTTTTGGGACCAAATTGGAGTTGATTTGGTTGGTTAAAAGTGTAATTTTCTGAGAAGTCCGAATTTTAGTTCAAATAGGAAACCTTTTATTTTCTGTTTTATTATTGTATTATGTTTCCTAGTTTTATTCTATGACCTTTTAGAGTTTTATTTTGTAGTAGTATAAATAAGATATTTTGCCATTAGGGTTAGAGAGGAGAAGAGTGGAGGAAACGCACGCACTACTTTAGAGGGTTTTTGAAGTTTATTTTCAAGGTGTTTTCTATCCTTGTTTTTAATAATATTTTGTTTATGGTAGTTAGTAACTAATTCTTGTTTGCTAGGGTGAGGCCACGAGCCTTAGTAAGAATATGGGGTTTCTTTTCAATTTACTTATGATATTATGCATGCATGTTTTGAATTATTAATCACCGTTTTAAACTATCTAAGTGTCTTAGTGATTTGCAACCTTTAGGATATTTTGAAAAGTAATTTGATGCAATTTTGGTCGGAAGGTTCCTTGAAATTGACGGTGGCTTCTTGTGGTTAATAATTATAATTTCACTTAGGATGAACACCACGTCTTAAGGGTTACATGGTTTTTCATAAAGCATAATGAATCTTTCATGTTCATATTTGATCCGAACGTCCGAACGGGTAGCATGTTAGATATACGTTCTATGTTGGAGGTTCCAAGTAATATATATATTAGGAAAACCTAACCTTCAAACATATTCATGGGTAATTCATAAGTAATTGAAAGAACTACATATGATTGTTAAGATGACGGCAGAACCCTAGGATTTTACAATTTTAATTTTCAAAAACTGTTTTCTTTTAGTTTATTTTATCTTGGCACTTTATTTAATTATTTTCTATTAAATTCGTTTTTATTATTTTAAATCATAAAATCAACTTTTTCTCAAAACTTTGTTTTAAATAATTAATTAAGATTTGATTTAACATAAATTATTCATTCAATCCTTGTGAAGAACAACCTTGCTAGAGTCATCTACACTACAATTACCTTGTACTCTTGCAAATATTTTAAGTGTTTTTATCCCTACTTTTGCAGGTGGTACAATTACCTTGTACTCTTGCAATTACCTTTTACCACCTGCAAAAGTAAGGATGAAAACAATTTAAATACTTGCAAGAGTACAAGGTAATTGTAGTATAGTCGGCTCTAGCAAGGTCGTTCTCTTCAGGGATTGAATGAATAATTTGTATCAAATCAAATCTTAATTAATTACTTAAAACAAAGTTTTGTAAAAAGGTGATTTTGTGATTTCAAATAATAAAAACGAATTTAATAGAAAATAATTAAATAAAGCGACAAAATAAAATAAACTAAAAGAAACAATTTTGAAAATGAAATTGTAAAAACCTAGGGTTTCGCTATCACATCCCGGCCCGGGCCCCTACCACATCCCGAGCTCGACTCCACCGTAGTACGATATTGTCCACTTTGGGCCCCTGTTGGAAATATGCCCTGAAAGTCAATCTTTGGAAGAAACCTTTCAGGACAATGTAATGATGTATATATGACTCTTATACATCGGAAGGCAAAGATACTAATTAGGACTATCTCAATGAACGAAATATGTCCTAAATGATGAATCCATGGACAATGGATTGATGGAAGAAGTAATCTAATGATGATTAGACTACAGAGACCTTCTTCTCATAACCATTATGTCCAAAAAGGTTCCTGGTCATAGGATTGTCGGAGGGATACTGACAATGCATAGACCGGTACATACTATGTCTGCTTCAAATGGAAGGATGGAAAGTCTCATCCCATTCGTGTAGTGACACTAAGACAAGTATGTAGGTGCTCATTAAGGGAATGAGTTCACTGAACACAATCGAACGAGAGTACTTGCATGGAGGTCTACTCACATGTCAAGCAAGTAACTCTGAAGGTTGGAATAATGTAAGTAATCCTTTGACCTAAGACATCATAGATGTCTAATGGTTAGGTCCTTGATCTTTGATCATGTCAAACGACATTCCATTGGAGTGTCCACGGCATTGTTGGGGTTAAGGTATCTAAACATGTAGGCATGTGAATGATCAACAAGGAATCTCTGATCCTCATTATGAGAGGAAGAATACTCTGAGATATGATTCGGGAATCTTCGGCCGAAGTCTCGAGCGTAATGAAGGAAAACGTTCCTATGCGACTCAATTGAATCATATAAGAAAGCATAATCACATTAGGGGTTTGACATAGTATATCCATACCCTAGTGATGTGATTGAGAGTATTGTTTTAGAGAAGGATCGAATTACATTGTAATTCCAACTGAATAGGTTCTCCGAATAAACTTCTACATTAGCTTGGGTAGCCATGATATATGTTTAGATGTCACTCATGGCTTGTGAGTTCTTCTAGATGATTAAATGTAGTCATCAAAGAAGAAGGTGAATTAAAAGTAAGTTTTAATTCACTAAGTGGATGGATTAAATATAATCAATTGGATTGGTGCCAATCACCTCACTGCCTTGCTAATTAGAACCTAAAAGATTGTTCACCAATACACTCTTGTAGTGAGTAACTAATGGATTTGGAAATAATTAATTGGATTAATTAAGTGTTGTGATTAATTTAGAAAGTCTAAAGAAATCATAAAAGCGATAAAAGATCGTTTTGGGCTTAAAGAAATGTTCGGGTTTAATTGGGCCCATTGGGCCTAAACCCATTGGGCCTAAACCCATTGGGCTTTTATTCAAGCATTGGATGACTTGAAATAATAAAAGCCCAAGGCCCAAACAACACTAAGAAGGCCGGCCAAAGAGAGGGAGAGAGAAGGTCAATTGTTGACTTGTTTCTTTATGTTATAAAAGGAACTTTATAATGAAAGTTTAAATGGGGATTTTTTCTTGGTGTTCAAAACAACAAAAGAGAAAAGAAAATAACTCTCTCTAACACTCAAAGGGCCGGCCACCATAAGGGTATTTTAGCTAATCATTTTATCACCCCTTTGGTTTTTCCTTCATCCTTCTCACTACACTAGTGGGTGAGGATCTTTAGAGGTTTTCAATTTTGGAAACTTGAAGAGGACCTAGGAGCACTCATTCTCAACAAAGTGGAGGAGGCAAGGAGGGAAGCTAGGCTCAAGGAGTTCAAGGAGCAAAGAGCTTGGAGGTGGTCAATCCTTGGTCTAAGATCTAGATCAAGAGGTATAAAACTACTCCTAAACTTTGTTCTTCAATAAATTGTTTTTGATGCATCATAAATAAACCTATGAATCTTGAAGGGGATTTTCATGACTAGAGCTTGTTGGAAATGTGCCCTAAAACCAATCATATGATGATACTTTATGGACATTTCACATGTTAAACTAATCTAGTTTAATATTAAGGGCAAACATTATTGTTTGAGCCGTCTCATATAAATGTTATATGCTTAAACGATAAGTCCAAGGAATATGTGATTGGAAGAATGCGATCTAAAGAAGTTAGATTCATGAGACCATTCTTTCGTTGACACATCCTAAACGTTCCTGATCATAGGATTGTCAATTGGGCATTGACAGTCCGTTAAGATCAGTACGTGCTATGTCTTCTCTCAGGGAGAGTGACTAGTCTCGAGTCATTGGTGTGTGTGACATCAAGACAAGTACGTAGGTGCTCAATAGAGAATGAGTTCACTGAACACGATCAACGAAGAGTTCTCATATTCATGTCACATGAGAACTCATGGTTGGGATAATGCAAATTAGTCTTTTGACCTGAGGCATCACAGTTGTCTTGTGGTTAGGTCCTTAATCTTTGATTATGTCAAAGTCACTCCATCATGAGGGTGTCCATGGCATCGTTGGGGTTAAGCCACTTAGCCATGGAGGCAAGTGAATGCGCAACAAGGGATCTCTAACCTTCAAACTGTTTGAGGGAGAATACTCTATGATATGATTTTGAATCTTTGGCCAAAGTATGAATGAGATTTAGGAATGTGTTCCAAATCACATTCAAGGTAATCATATAAGCACAAGACTCACATTGGATAGTAGACATGAATAAACTATCAAACCAAACAATGTGGTCAAGAGTATTGTATTAGAGAAAGACCGTATTGCATTTGTAATCCTAAAACTGAATAGGTTCTCCACCTCTTCTGATTAGCTTGGGTAACCATGACATGCTGCTAGGCGTCAACCATGGTTTGTGGAAGCCCTAAAAGTGTATTATCACTAACGGGAGAATTGAAAGTAAGTTTCAATTCACAATCGATTAGAAAGAGTTTTAATCGCCCACTGCCTCGCTAAAAGGAACCTAATGGATCGTTCACCGAGTAAGGTAGAGTTTGAAGAAACAACGGAGATGAGTAAGAATAATTAAATGGTTTAATTATTTATCTAAGGCTAGGATTAATTAATATGTTAATTAATCAAACGAATAAGTTCGTTAAAGACCTCGGGTTAGTTTTGGGCCGCAAGGCCCAATGGGATTTGAATGTCAAGCCCATTAACTCAAGTTGTATGACAACTTGAATAAACAAAGGGCTTGAAAGCCCAATAAACCTATAGGCCGGCCATGTGTAAAAGGATAGGGCTTTTGGTCCATTAGGTCACTTATTTGAAGGGACTATATAAAGGACTTTATAGCCTAAAATTTACTAAGGGTTATTTTTGGGGGAAAGGATGAGAACACAAGCTCTCCTTTCTCTCTAAAATTTCGGCCAACCTTGGAGGGATCATCTAGCAATCAAACTCCTCCAAGGTCACTCATTTCTTCTTCATTATGCCTTGGTGATGAATAATTAGAGGTTCTCAATTTTGGGAACTTGGAGAAACCTTTTCATCCATCCAAATCCATGGATCTAAGATGCAAGGAATGAAGGCCCTCTCTTTGGGTGATTAGCCTTTGCTTATGCAAAGAGGAATCTACAAAGGTATTGATTTCTCAACTCACTTTGTTTTGAGTTGAGTCTTGGTTCACCTATCTACTAGGCTTTGAATTTCATGGGTAAATGTTTTGTTTTTAAGTGCATACAAGCATGATTCCGCCTTTAATTGTTAATTGCATGCTATTGATGTTGCTTAAATGAACATGTTTTTCACAATCTTACTTCAAGTGGTATCAAGAGCCTAAGTCTAGTAGTTGGTGAATCCTTTTGGGTTTTGTAGTTCATAGTTTGTGATTTGAATGTTGTAATTGTTACAAGCTTTATTCTTGCTTCTTTGAATGTAAATTTTGTTAGAAAATTTGCCATCTCAAATGTTGTAGATGTAGTTCATATGAGCATGAATTTTGGAGCTAAAATTTGGTGCCATGTTTTTGGGGAAATTCGGCCAAATCCAAAGGGTGGATTTT